CGAGTTCTAGAATAAATAAGAATGTCGTCTATAAAAACAACAACAAATTTATCTAAATAAGAATGAAAGATCCTGTTCATGTAGTTCATAAATATTGCAGGTGCATTTGTTACTCCTAACAGCATGACCACATATTCATAATGGCCATATCTCGACCTGAACGCCGTCTTCTGTACATCTTCTTCTTTAACCAGTATCTGATGGTATCCAGATCTCAAATCAATCTTAGAAAAGATTGATGCTCCCTGTAACTGGTCTAATAAATCATCAATCCTCAGCAACGGGTACTTGTTCTTGATAGTCACCTTGTTTAGTTGCCGGAAATCAATACACAACCTGGAGCTCCCATCTTTCTTCTTTACTAGCAATACAGGAGCACCCCAGGGAGATACACTCGGGCGAATGAACTTCTTTTCCAGCAAATCCTCTACCTGTTTCTTCAATTCATCCAATTCTGCTGGAGTCATACGGTATGGTGCCATAGAGATTGGGCCTGAACCAGGAATTAGATCAATCCCAAATTCGACCTCTCTCTGAGGTGGCAGCCTTGGTATCTCATCTGGAAACACATCAGAAAATTCTCTCACAACCGGTACCTCTTCCAAGATATTATCCTTCATTTCATCCATCTGAGTCAGAATCAAATAACACTGAGCTCCCTCTCGTAGCTCTTTCTGAACCTGCCGAGCTGATGTAATAAGTTCATCTCCTAATTCTGGATGTATCAACCTCTTCTGTCCACAGTCAATCAGATTGCGATTGGTAGATAACAAATCCATCCCTAAGATCACATTCATATCCTTCAAAGGTAAATCGATTAAGTTCACCTTGTACTGTCGTCCTTCTATGACAACTGGGCGCCTTAAACACACATAGGAAGATACCACCAGTCCAGCTGCTGGTGTAGATACCCTCAATTCATAGGGTAGGTCACACACAGGTAACTTAAGTTTATCCATACAATTTTCAGCAATAAAAGAATGGGTAGCACCTGAATCAAACAAAACTCGTAGAGGGATATCAGAGATAAAACACACACCTTGCACTAAATTCTCTGACCTCGATGTCTCTTCTCCTGACAAGGCAAACACCCGTCCTGCAGCTCTAGATTTCGCGTCACTCCCCCTGGGTGCTAATGATGCCCCAGCTGAGACTATAACATTGGGCTTCTGTGGACAGTCTCTAGCCATATGTCCTGGCTTCTGGCAAGTGTAGCAAAGACCTGCCCGAGAAGTCTGGGAAGGATTAGTGAAGGCATTCTGTGGGCACTGATTCCTGTAATGAGGGCCTCCACATTGAAAACATTTTACTCCGGATACAGATCCCGATGATCGAGGTGCTGGGATAACACTGCCACTCCTGGAGGACTGGGGGCGTGAATAAGGCATCCTCCTCTCTGATCTTCTACTCCCACTTGGGTGGGTCCTCATCACTCTGACTCCTCCCTCCTAGAGTCTCTCTATTGTCTTCACTTTCTCCACCAGCTCTGGGAATCTCCTGATAGAGAAAGGAACCACCATGAGCTTGATCTCAGCCCTCAAGCCTTCCTCAAACTTCCTACAAAGCCACTGTTCTGAAGATGTACCTGTGTAGAAACGAGATAAGTGCCAAATCGTACGGCGTAATCATGCACCGTCATATTACTCTGTCTCAGACTCAGGAACTCAGTCTCCTTCCGAAATCTAACACTGTCAAGGAAGTATTTCTCCAAAAACCTCTCACGGAAGGTTTCCGAATTACACACCTCCTCACGTGCAATCATCATCCTTTGAGTCCCTGACTACCAGAACTCAGCCTCATCCACTAGTAAGTATTTTCCGAATGTCAATTTCTTGTCTTCCGGGCATAAGGTAGCCTCAAAAATCTTCTCCACTTCACGCAACCACTTCTCTGTTGCATCTGGACCTAAATCTCCTCCAAAACGAGGCGGATTATGCCTCATGAACTCAGTCAGTCCCATCTACTCTGATTGGTGAAATCCAGCAGAGGATGATGCCATAGTTGGCCTCCACTGCGGGTAGGTAGCCTGCTGCTGCATGGCAGCTGCCAACATTTCCATTGCCCTGGCTAGGGCATCTACACTCGGTGGAGTAGGAGTAGGAGTAGGAGGTCGCGGTGCCATCCTATATCAAATGCAACCATCAATACAGAGCAAACATTCACACACACTCACATATCAGAGTATAATCACAACGGACTTATCATAGGGTCACTACCCATCCCCACAGATTTACAAGGATACTACCGCTCTGATACCACTATTGTAACGACCCTAGAAATCGCTACTATAATGATGTCTTCGCAAAGTATTAACAAGTAAATAACAACATCTATTTTACATTATATTACTGTAATTGTAACATATATTGAAATTCCAGTTCACTAATGGAACTTCAAAATATAGTAACATAATTTATTTATATATTATACATGTAAAAGTAGCTACCTCGAAGCTATCCCATCGAACTATCCTCGTCGTTCAGTAGTCACATCACCATCTCTCAACTCCTGATCTCGCTCCCACATAAAAGTGATCATCGCAGTCCCATCCACATGGAAAAATAGGGGTAAGTATTAAATCATTCGATATAATAAAACAGATATAGAAGTAATAATTATATATTATGATCAATTACGAAATTATCAACACACTAAGACACCTTCCGAAGTATACCCTAACTATGCCCGAACTCGGAGGCTATCATCTCGTGGGCACATTGTGATCGGTACCGCAGCACCATTCCGACCACCCTCCACACAAAGTAGGATTATTGGCGCCCTTCATCACTCATACTGGAGTACCCTCCGAGCGTGCCACCAGTCATCCCCCCATCGACTTCTCACCACCTGATCTCGTAGTCTACCTGACCCGACCAATCAGTGAAGTCTGGGACCTCTTTCAGAATCCTCCGACATAGTTATTACACTAATGTACTTTGTACTACCCCGGGTACCATTCAAACATAACAAAAATTATTCACATTTGCCGGATTCTGGACCACCTGTCCTCACGACTCATTCGGTCAATAAAAATAGTATTTGATCGATTCCCGCACCAACCCTCCGGCTCAGCCTAGCCAATATATAACGTCTCGGGACCGATTCCGGGCATCAGCCCTCAGGCTCAGTCCGACCCACACACGTCACAACACACTACTTTCATTCTCTCTCTCTCTTATATATATATATATATATATATATATATATATATATATATATATATATATATATATATATATATTTTTTTTTTCTAAAATCATTTCAAATCATTTCCGAAATCATTTCCGAAAGTATTTCCGAAACTAATTTCGAAATCATTAAATTACTATTTTGCCCTTAATCTTTTCTTAAAATTCCATGTATGTCCCTAAATAACTATTTTACCCTTGGACATTTTTGAAAATTCCTTCCATGTCCCGAAAATGACTATTTTGCCCTTGGACATTTTCAAAAATTCCTTCCATGTCCCAAAAATGACTATTTTACCCTTGAACAATTTCAAAAATTCCATTTATGTCCCTAGGATGTAAAATGACTATTTTGCCCTTGAACATTTTCAAAAATTACATTTATGTCCCTAGAATGTAAAATGGCTATTTTACCCTTGATCTTTTAAAAAAATCTCCACCATATCCCTTTCTTCTTCCTTCGCTCAGTAATAGTGTCAAAATTTGCAGATTTTGGCAGATTTCAAATTACTCGAGTTTTAGACAACCAAACTAATCCCAAATCGAAATTAAACATGAATTATATCTAATTTAAGTTGAAAACAACAATTTTACCATATAATTCATCCTTAATTTCAAGAATTTAATCAATATTTACAATTTTGCAAAATATGAATAGTAATCACCTCCAAGTACGCCATTTTCAAAATCCAGGTTTCAAATTTCTCGCTTCAATCACCCAAATTAGTTCCAAATCAAAATTAAACCATAAACATGTTCAATTTAAGTTAAAAACAACAATTTTATTATATAATGCATTCTTAATTTCAAGAATTTCAAAAACTTTCAAACGGTGAACAGCTTCATCAAAATCGAAATTCTTCAAAATCGAGACATTCAAATAATTCATATCTCTACTCTTATTCCTTATTCACAGTAGTACCCAAGCAATTCAATTTCATATATTGAATGAATTAAACTTCTCCTTACCTGGTATGGTATTTCTACCGAAGATTTCCCACTTAATTCAAGTTCTCTCCCGTTTCACTGCGATCCTCGCACGAGTAGAGTCTCGTTGCTTGAAATTTAGACAATAGAAGAAGAAGGATGAGAGAAAAATTTTGATTCTCCTCCTCCCCCGCTTCAGTATGCATATATAAGAATAAAATTTACTGTGCATGAGGAAAACTTCGTTACGAAGTTTTCTTGTACAGTAATATTAATATAATATTAAAATAAGGCATACGTCAGGTTTTGAACATGTATTACGCATCGGACTTTGATCCCTTCAAGCTTCGCAGAACAAAAAGGTCTGATAACCAGATCAATGTTTGCATGATGCTTCCTATGAGTATTCGATGTAATACTTGCGGTCATTATATTTACAAAGGCACAAAATTCAATTTCAGAAAGGAAGATGTCATTCACGAGGTTTGGTTGTTAATACTAGTTCATTTTCAACTTTTTCTATTGGTACCTGTACATTTAAAAGAAATGTTGTTTGTTCTCTTCGAATTTTGTATTGGTTTTATGATGGATTGTGTTGCGCTTTTTAAGCGCTTGCAATTAAGCTGTTAAAAATATTCATAGAATTCAGATGTTCAAACATGTTGCTTTATGTGTTTGATTCCAATAATGACTTTGAGATTTTTTTTTTTTTTTTCAGACATATATAGTTTGATTCCAAGAATGACTTTGAGTTTGAATTTATTTTTCTTACATATTTAATTTGATTCCAATAATGAGTTTAAGATTGAATTTCTTTAGACGTATTTGGGAATTCAAATATTCAGGTTCTATTTTAAATGCACCAACTGCTCAGCTGTACTTATCATGAAAACTGATCCACAAAATTCAGATTATATTGTCGAATTTGATGCGACTAGAAATTTTGAACCTTGGCGTGTAGAATATGAAGAAACTGATAAAATGAATCAGAAGAGGAACTTTGAAGAGATGGGAGATGTTATGAAATTGTTAGAGAATAGAACCGGGGATTCTAAAAGGGAGATGGACATCCTAGCTGCATTGGATGAGATGAAGTCAATGAAGGTAATCACTGATATGACTACAATGTATATAATGATGAATTAAATTGTGCATAGATGATTCAATAGGATATGAGCATTATAATTATAATTGTAGAATACGCTGCATTAATGGTAGAATATGATGCATTTTGACGTAAAATATGACCTTTCACACCATTTGTTTTAATAATTACTACACAAAGTCTATCTATGGTCTGCTAACATAACTCTTCCATTTACCAGTCTAGGCATACTGTTTCAGTTGATGAAATGTTGGAGGCTCTGCAGCACACAGCAGTTCATAAGGTATGAGAAAACATGTCATATAAATATTTCCTCGGTAGTTGGTAGAAGAAATTTCATGTTTGAAAATTATGATTGATCATGAAAGGAATAAAATAAAATATTTGTATAGTTAGAAAATTTAGGCCCAGAGACAATAAAGTGTTTAAAAATTCATCACTCTGTAGTCCATCCTTCTTATTGTCAGCTTAATTTCTCCGGAAAACCTGATTTGACTCTAACAATACCAATTTTTGGTTTGGTGTTTGGTATACTCTTGCAATGCAATCACTGCTTTTCTCCTGTGAGAACATCTGTTGCAAGACAGATAAAATATCCCTGTATTTAATATCGTAAGACAACCCGCCTAAACGTAGATTGTCTATTATTTCTAATTTTGAATTTAAATATCATTTTCCTCTTTGACAATTTTAGTTAATTTATTTTGATTCCAGGAGAAGAGGCTAGTAGAAGAAGATGAAACACTGATAAAATCAGTTGTCTTCCATGTAAGTATTACTACAGTTCTCCTTATTTTAGTTACTTTTGTTTTTAATGGACTTTGTTTTTTTATTTATATGTTTTTGCTTTATATTTTCTTTAACAGAATTCAGGAGGTTATGTCAAAAGAATTCGTGATGAAGATATTGAAACTGATGAGCAATTAGATGATCTTTCAAATGGTCATGGTGAAACATTCTATTATAATGCAAAGGTATGATGGTGTCAAGTGCATGTGTGTTTTCAGTAATTGATTTTTCTTTCCCGTCTTCTTGGCGTAACAATTTGTAACCAGCAACACTTCTGATCATTTTCATCCCACCCTCTTCTCTGAACGGTTGAAATCGAACTAACCATGATATCCCTCATTTTCAATAAAAAATATTATTGGGAAAAGAATCATTTTTTTAAGGAAAGAAACAAAATGAATGCATTTTTTTTTCAAGCGTCACAAAATGAAATTGCATTTAAGAGACCCATGAAACACTCTTGTTTCTTTATGTGAAAAAACAAAACATGATAATCTACAACTTGTAAATACATATTTCTTGCTTCTTCGTGTGCTCTGCTGTTGATCTTTTCAAGGATTAGGGGTTTCTTAAATTTACAGATAGATATTGGCATGCTATGTTGCATGTTTTTTTTTACCATTTGATACTGTCTCTTTTTAAATAAATTATTTCTTAGAAAAAAAATTAAAGGAGGTTTTGTATTTTTATTTTCGTTTAATAATGTAGCTGGTGTGTGGACTTTTGTTCTTGAAATGTGGAAGAAATATATTATATATGTAAGAATCATCAAATGTTTTGACAAATACGCAGTTGAAGTTTTTCTTAATTTGCATACTTGAGCATTTATCTAGGTATCTGATTTTTTTTGTTCATTTAAGACATCAAAATCATGGTACAAATACAACTGTTTAAGCTAGTGTATGTGTTGTATTGTATCTATGTGCAGAAGCAAAAGCAAAAGATTTCTGAAGATCATCCAAGCAAATCAACGAACACTCTCACAAAAGCTAGTTTGGATGATTCTGGCAAACAAGGTATGTGAAGCTATAATTTGATTTATTTATCATTTGATATTTCTTTTGAAAGAGATGTTTTATAATACCATCTACTTGGGAATGTAACACATGTAACCATATGTTGATTATTTGCAGCAAACGCACGCATTAGTGGAAAGCTTGATTCTTTAGTGAAGGATTTCTGTCGTTAAGAAACCAGTGGCTTTTGACGTTAAAAGTCCTTCGCAACCAGAACAAAAGATGGAAGATAATAAAACAAATATTACCGGTGGGCTGCAACCTTTGTGTCAAAACTATGGAAGTGATGATGAGGAATCATGAGTACTGAATGACTATTTGTCTATTTGTTTAAGGGCAAGGTAGAGAATGGAGGAAAAAGCATTAATTTCCTGCATAATTCCATGTTAAATGACACATCACATAAAATTGGATTATTATTGTATTTTTAGATGAGACTTACTTTCAAAAGTGTAAATAAGCATAAATTAAGCATGTTAACATGGATTACCATTTTGAGTCTAAATATAGTATAGTGTGTTAATACTTAGAATATTTTACGGACACTGACCTATATTTTGGGTAATGTAAATAAGAAATGATCGTCTTGTGTGAACAGTGAAAGGGTAAGTTTTCTGAATTTGAACACAGGGAGATCTGTACCTTGTGTTAATACTAGAACTACTTTTGCTTGATTGATAATTAACCATAACCGCAAGATTAACCAGCACAAATGTAGCAAGTTCTCTTTTATGAATAATAACAACTAGAATGTCTTAAACCTAAAGGGTTTTTTACCTGGTTAAAAATAAATTATTTTACTAGAGGGGTTTGAAAATTTAAATTTTTTTTAAAATAAGTTAAATCGTGGTAGATAAAACTTTTTGGACGGTGAAATTATGTTTAAAAACTTATTTTTGACTAAAATCATGTTTTCAATCACAATTTTGGTTTTCTTTTTTAAACATGTTTGATAATACGAGTTTCTCATTTGTTGCATGAATGACAAACGGGATTCAAACATATCAGTTGCTATTATATTATAACAGCATACTTCATCAAACGTTTTTAATAATGTTGTTGCAGCAAAGAAATAAAGAGCAAATACAATACTGAAAATATGAAGAAGATGAGAATGATTATAAGCATTCGAAGAAGGTGTATTTATAGGCAGAATAAACTACCTTCTCATGCAAAAATAACAGCCTAATGAATACCTAATTGAATGTTCAACCACGCTCATACAGCTTCTTGATGTTGCTCTTCATGCTAGACTCTATGAGAAATGATGCAGATACACTAAAATCATGCAACGTGGATTGATTTCAAGGTGGTGCGATTTTGTAATTATCTCAACTAAAACTCATGCTAGGTTGACCGATTTCTACATAAAATTGTGACATCAAGCACGATTTTGCTTTCTTGAAAAAAAAATAATAACTAAATCATGATTTCAGTCAAAAGTGTGTTTCCAAGTATGATTTTATCAGGTCAAACTCGTTTCACCTAGCACCATTTAATCTATTTTGAGAAAATTTTAAATTTTTGATCCCCTTTAATAAAATCAAAGTTTTTTTTAACCCCCTTTGGTAAAAAAAAGCCAAACCTACATGAGTATTCATCTTCAAAATAGTAAGCTCATAGAAAACTTTCTTCTACAATCACGTGGACAATTAGGGTATCTTGCTCTCACCTTTCCGATATTATTTTTATTCGTTCGTAACTAATGTAGACCGAAACATATGCCTAAAACAGTATTTTAAGTAAAAGAGTCTTTATCATATTTTAGGAGAAGTGAAATATATTATTCATCTTTCAAAAAGTTCATTACTTCACATCACTACTACCTTGCACAAGTCATGCAATAACATTGCACACATGATAACCTTGATAATACCAGAAATTACTACAAATGGCAGAAGATGCAAAACAGTAAGTAAATGTATTTGTAGTTTCTGCTTCCCTCAAAACATGAGCTTAGTTAATAAATACTACTAATTCACTCACTAAATATAATGCAGAAATTACTTTTAGCTATTCTTAAAAATTACAAAAATGAGTTAAATCATGCTTGGATATATGATTTTGGGTAAATAAATTTGCTTTCAAGGATGAGATTGTTAGGCAAAGTTAAAATCGTGCTTTTAATTGTAATTTTTTTTTTCAATATACCACGATTTTTACTTTATTTTTATTAAAATCTTGTTCACTCCAATTGGTTGCACGTAATGAAAATTCCTTCATATATAAACAATAAAAAAGAAAGGAGTAAAGGGGACTGCACCTTAGCTTATATATTTGTAATCATTGAAAATCATTGAAAGCATAAGCATATATAAATTTTTGAATGTACATAAAAAAAAAAGGAATGTAAGACTTAAATTCCTTTGAGACCATATTGACACGGTATTTGTTAATGGTTAAATAAATTAGTCTCATATTTTTTAAGATATTGAGTTGAATGAAATCAAACTTTGTGAACTTGTTTAATTAGCTTATACCTTGAATTGACTTGTCTTTATTCTCCTATATTAAGAATCTTCCTTAAAGAAATTAGTGTCAAGTTTCTTGTGAAGTTTAAGAAAAAATTTAATTTTTAAAATTAATAATTATATAGAAATTAATTATTTTATAAATAATACATTTTAAAAAAAAATCAACTCATCTTTTTTTAAAAAAAAAATTTACTCAATTTGTACTAGATAGCACGATTTTAAGAAAAAAAAATGAAACTTCTACTAGCACAATTTAAAAAAAAATAAAAAAATAATTACAACTAAAATAATGTTATGGAACACGATTTTAATTATGACTACTTGAAATTGTGCTTTAAAACATGATTTGATACATTTTTATAATTTTTTAAAAATCCAACCCTATCTAAGTAAAATTGGGTTTTTTTTAACCTGTTATGTAATAATAAAAAAAAGAAGGAAAGTTTATAAATATTTTATTTTTTTAATTATTCTAAATATTTTTTAAAAACTATTAATATTTTGTATAAAAATAATAATAATCTAATCTTATATTTATTATAATAATAATATCGTTATATTTTTAGTTATTGTCCAATTTAAAATAAAACAAGATAAAGATGAATGATTTTTATATTTATTTTGATGAATGAAAAAATTTGAAAAATAAAAATTTATTTTATTTTTTTTATGATTATAAGAGTTTCTTTTTATTTTTGAGTTTAAAACCAAAATAAATACAGTAGAATATTCCACGTGAAGACATTTGTTTTAAATTTTATATTATTTTCAAAATTTGTTGTTATGTTTTTATTTTAAATTTAACTTGAACTTGTTAGTGAATATAAGAATATAATAATATGAGCTAAATGAATTAAAATTGGAATATTTTTTATTATATATAAAACATGGTTTAAAAATATCTCAAGTATTTAAAAACTCTTTAAATGTTACTAAAATTTATCAATTAAAGGGTTAAACTAATAGGTATTCAATAATTTACTTTTCTTTTAGAAAAAAAGTAATTAACTCTACCAAAAAAAAAAGTCTGAAGTCAATATTCTACTTTTTCAATTCGAAAATAATACATCTTCCGTCCGAAAAATACCGTAGTTCTAGTTGTTTAAAATAATTTAAAATTGATTAATTTTTTAAATTTCTCTTTTTTTTTCATATTATCCTCGTATAAACATTTTCAATTAAAAATTTAATATCATTTCGTTAAAAACTAAAATTAAAAAATAACAACTCTACATTTCATTTATTGACAAAGTCAAAACATAACTTCATCACCATAAATTACGTAAATAAAGAATATGAACAGTTTCAAACATTAAATGCTAATATTTATATCAAAGACAATAATAAATATTCATTGTAGTTTAATTTAGAATAGTTAATTACCTATCACTAAAACCTATTAATGATATTTCAGTTCATTTAATAAAATTAATGATCGGTGTTAAAAATATCTCACAGGTTTATATACAACAAGTTATCTGAACTTACAACAGTACAATGAATATGGTTTTCTTTATAAACATGGTTAGAGTTCTTCTACTTCTCATTTTGTTGTCACCATCATTTTTCAACCACCAAGCCAAAAATTTTGCTGTGGCAGATTACAAACTGATTCAAACTTTATGCCACAACTCTGAGACACCTGAAACTTGTATGAAGTGTGTGGAGTCTTCTAAAGGGGCTGTGAAAGCTGATGGTGTTGGAATTGCCAGAATCGTTGTGAACTGCATGAAGGATGAGGCGAAAACATTGTCACACAGCATCACGAAGTTGGCTTCTACATCACATGGAAAGCTCAAGTCTGTTTGTAAAAGGTGTGCAAAAGAGTATGGCTACCACATTGGGAAGAAAGAGTTCGTCACAATCCACCATGCATTGAAGCATCACAAATATGACCATGCTGAACTTTTTGTGGCAAGAGCTCTAAGTGTGGATGTTGCATGTCGCTCGGATCTGCATCATTACCATGATAAAGTGCCAAGTGATGTTTTTAATAATATGAAGGTGTTTGAGGAACTCTCTGAGGCTGCTTGTAGAATAATGGAAAAGCTTTATTAGGGTTCATACCCAAACAGTTGTTAAACTTTTGCATTGGTAATTTCTAACACCTATAATAAGAAAAAAGAAAGATGGGTTGATTGTTTTGCATATGGTTTAGTTTTCCATTGGATTGTGATGTGTCAAAACATCACACTGACCCATTTACTATATGAAGGTTAATTGCCTCAAGAAAAGTAAATGATTGATTAGACAGTTTAGTATGTGGTTATTATATATATATATATATATATATATATATATATATATATATATATATATATATATATATATTATAGTTAATTATGTTAGTTTTTAAAAAATATAATATAAAATTGTAAAAATAAATGATAAAAAATTATTTTTAAAATTATATTTTACAAAATAAGTAGAGAACAAAAATATTTTAACTCAGAAAAATGAATATTTAATTAGAAAAATAACGCAGTACTAAAAATTATCTTTATACGAAAAAACATATTATATTAATTAAAGATCAAAACAGGAATCATACAATTTATCTATTTCTTTCTAAAAGAAAATATATTATATAATTTATATAAAATTACTGTTCAACTATTATCAAATCATTAAAATCTTATTCTTAAAATACAAATTATTAGATATTAAATTCATAAATAAATTTGTAACAAAAATTCAATAAAATATGAAGATTAAATTCATTAAAAAAATAAAAATATTAACCCAAATTCAGCTTTTTATTGACACAGTCTCAGCAAAATTACTCATGTACCCGACTAAAATTTCTATTAGCACACTCTCAACAAAGTACATTCACTCCAAGTCCAATCCACTCTTTCCTCAATTTGATAAATGAATATATCCTCTGATATTAATATATCAAAAGTTATTCCATCTATTTTCTATATAATTATAATCTATTATTAATTTAATGAGTAAATATTAATATATTAATTATTAAATTAATATTTTAATCATTAATATATACTAAAAATGATATTACAAATTTAAATTATTAAAATTTTTTATTTTAATAAATTAATAATTTAAGATGTAATATTAATTTTATTAATCAATATTAATACTTTTTATTAATTAATTTTAATATTTTTTTATTAAATTTAATTATTAAAAAATGGATTATAATCTCCCTCTGTAATTTGAAACACCATAAAGTCATTTTTTATGCACTCACTAGTGGCTATCATTGTTTGATAGTCTTTGTTGTCATAAAGGGTTTCCAAGGTTTTCTTCATCATCCTTTAACATTATTTTTCAAAACTACTATCAATACACTCCTTTTATAAAAAAAAATTATGATTGTTTAAGATTTAGTTCAAACTATCAATTTCCGTGTGTCATACCCTAAATCGAGAAAATGTTATTAAAGGATCAGTTAAATCTATAAAATGAGTGATTTTCAATAAAAGAAAGTATTAATTAAAATATTTTATTATAAGTGCTAAAAAAAACTTCTACCTCTAGAAACAAAATGTCCTAATTTTAAATTTATTTTTTTATTAAAAAATATTCATCATATAATAATAAAATATAATTAACATTTTTCAATAAAAATATTGTTAATGTTGAGGATTTAAAATCAAGACAAATTATAGTCAATTAAACCGATTAAAATAATTATATTATATTATATTATATTAATAGACGTACAATAGTTTTAGCTAACTAATTTTAAAAAATAATAATATTATATATATATATATATATATATATATATATTACTTATATACCGGTTTTTGCTGTATAATAATAATAATAATAATAATAATAATAATAATAATAATAACATATTATATTTATAATAATCCTTTAAAACGTAAAAGAAAATATAAATATTGTATAATATTATTTATATTTCAAAGAGAAAAAATTAATTGTGGACATAAAGGAAGAGTGTTTTCACTAATTTATACTGTATTATATATATGAAGGAATTTATATATATATATATATATATATATATATATATATATATATATATATATATAACCTCTTTTTCACGTAATTGGAAAAAAATATCATATATTATCTGTAATTATACATAACATAATATTTTAGTTAATCACTCATTTTAGTGTTATGGGAAAAAAATAAAAGTATTATAGTGAAAACTAAAAAAGTTATTATAATTTATATATTTAAAAAAAATATGAGAAAAAGAAAAAAATACATTTAAAAGTAAATAAAGTAAAATAATATTTTAAAAGAAAATAATTATTAAAATATAGACATGTAAACCTCTTTGTTTCTATTAGTGATTTATAAAAAGAAAGATACTAACAAAATAATTATTATAATTTATATATTAAAAATTTAATAAAAAAGAGAGAGGTGTGACGAGTGGGAAAAAAATAATGTGTAGAAAATAACATAGAATTTTTATTTTTATAACTATTATTATTATTATTTTCCATTATTGAGAAGAGAAAGATAATATAAAAAATTAATTATTTATTTGAAAGATGGTAGAGAGAAAGAATATAGGTATAGATAAAGTTTGTTGGTTGTTATCAAATTTTACACCCCTTTTTTTTACATCCTTTTTATTTAAAAGCTTTTTTTTGTGAAAAAAATTGTTAAAAGTATTTTTTTTAAAATTAGAAATAAAAGTAAATTAAACATGTAGTGGTTTTTCTGTTACTTGGAACAACGTTCTAACTCTGTCCAAATCCCTGTGACATATTAACTGTTGGGAAGATAAAACTGCAATGTTCAGAAAAAAGCATTAATGCATTTTATCCATCAGAGGCATAGAAGAACTGAAAGGAACTTCATTTATTCTCAATACCTCTTCTTCACGTTTCTTATGCCTTCAATTATGCCTCCCCTTCAACCGTTAACTCTCTTCAAATTCATTGGCCATTAACTGCGTTTTCGTTTTTGAATTCAACCTAACATTCTATAATATTTCAATAATTTTATATTTTAAAGATATATATTTAGATAATAAATTGAATAAATAAATTAAAATATTTATATTACTATCCCTAATATTCAATAACTTTGATCAATTCAATGGAATGGATAAACTCAATATATCATATCACATGTTAAATCGAATTGAATTATATTTAATTAATTATAAATTAAATTAAATTTAATCTGCTTTGACTAAGTTAGGTGGTTGATTGCTTAACCTAGTAAATATAGCCTAAAATCAAATAAGATAACAATTTTTAACTTAAATAATGATTTTTTATGAGTTTTTATAGGTTTTCAAAAAATAATAAACTTCAACACTTAATTCATTATTATAAAAATTAAAATTTATATTTATGATCATCATAGTTTTATCATCCTTTTGAAAATAATATAAATAAAATGACTTCATTTAATTAAAATTACTTAATAAGAAAGAGAGATTAAATTAATATATTTAAATTTATTATAAATAATAAATATGAATTTAAAGTAATATAACAAGCAAGTGTACGGGAATTAAAAAAATGATAGAGAATACTAAAATATTTTGAAAAGTAAATGAACATAATATAAATCTAAATACCATAAAGTAAAAACAATTAAAGTTGAAATAAAATAAAATACTTTAAATGATCCATACCACTAATATATACGAAAGATAAATAAATAAAATAGTGTGTAAAAGATTGAAGAGGTGATTTTTATTATTTATTAGCTTTATAAAAGTTTCCTGTAAAATAGTTTCATATCTATTTATAGGTCTCATAAAAAGTTATTAAGTCTAACGAATACATAATTTATTGCTTAAGGGGATTATCATTGATTAAAAACAATATTATTTCACATCATTTTAGTGTCATATTAAGTATTAACACTTTTTAACGACTAAACGTATGAATCAACTATTGTAAAAAATTTCTAACTTATTCAAACATCTTAAACTCATATTCTAAATATATAGTCATCTAAAGAGATTTTAGGCATACATATTATTTTCATATCCATGATAGATAAGGGAGATCTCTATGAGAAAGATTAACTAAATAGATGTAACTAAGCAACATTGTTCACAATTCTAACATGTGTAATTACTCTAGAAGTTAAATTTTTAATAGAATGATCAATTTTTTCTTTAAAGTGTTTCAAAATTTTAATTTACTCCTAGAATTTCAATAAACTAAAAACAATAAAAGTAATTTTTTTCTTTTACAATTATTTTTCATTTTAAACAAGTTCCTTTAATATTATTATTAAAATACAATTGTTTATATATATAAAGATTAAATTACATTCATAAAAGAATTTATTTGAAACAAAAGATAAATATAAAAGATCAATATTATTTCAAGAACTATCTATTTATTTATTAATATTCAATGACCAATTGGAAAAAATACCTACTTTAAAATATCAAAAAACCTATTTAAGCTAAAATTTACTAGCCTTTTTAATTATATTATTAAAAAATTTAATTTTTTTCTTGTAAATTTTTTATACAATTTTATAAAAAAATTAGAAAAATGTACTATAAAAAATTCATAGAAAAAAATATGTGAGGAAGATACATTTTACAGGAAATATATAAGATTTTGGTAAGATTTTTTTTTTTTTAATATATGTCATCTATAAAGTTTAAGAAAAAAAATTAAGAATGATTTTAGATAATAGAAAATATGAAATGATAACAATCTTAATAGAAAAATTAATAAATTTACTAAGATCAATAAAAATTAATCTTTATCTTAATAAATTAAAAATATATTTTTTTTAAAATAGTGGCAGAGTTTTATAAAGTTTTCTTCCAAAACATCCAAGAATGGGCACAAATTCATACCCATGCACATCTCCCAATCAATTTTTAAATCTTATGGAATTGATGACAGATTAATTATTACTCAGATTTCAGCAGGTCGTGGTTTTTTACTTGAACTTCAAATGAAGCATCATGTCAGCATGTTGCGCAGATTTATGAGTCCTTTCTGTAGTTTTTACCCCTTCAATTTTTTTCACTTGTGAATTATGGTTCAATCAATGCCATATATATTTCAAACAGTTTTTTCTGAGCTTTTTTCCCTTTCATCTGATAGGCTAAACCGTGCGTGTGTGGCAGAAGACTTTCCAATCTGTTTGGTCTAAACTTAGTGTCACAGTACATTCATCAAAAAGGTTAGAAGTTATTACTGGAAATCATAATTAAATATCCTCTTCATTTATAGTTTATGATGATAAATGTTTGTCATTTTTGCTTCTGGGGACTCACCAAAACTTGTGAAATCTTTAATACAAGGCCGTGCATCATGTGAAATGCTGCAGATGTACCATATTGCACATTTAATATGCACCCTCTGAATCTTTGTATATATGTTTCTACAGAGATTCTTGACTCATCAAGGAACCTCACCAAAGTACACCTTCACCTTCTTCTCTTTTGTTCACAACCCTAATTTTTCCTCTACTAATGAAAACTGACTTCAAGTTACTTCAGTGTGTACATTGATGCAAGTATGACCACTTTCTCTCTTGGAACCCATAAATGTTTCCTCATTCTGATTTTCTTCACTGTTGTTTCTATCAGTTGGAGCCTTAGAGTGATTCCAAATCATGGTAAGTCTAGCATGTAATTTAATGTTTTTTTTTTCTTTAATTACGTAACTTTATGGTTGTGCTGATATTAGAATGTTGAGCACAGCTTCATTTCTTCATACGTATTTATTTATAAGAGAAAATTTAACAAAAGACGTGTTTGAACAAAAGTTTATTCAAACAAAGCTTAACATGATATAATTTTTCAAGAAAATGAAAATTCACTGTCCTTCAGTTAATCTCACTTAACACACTCCAAACAAGGTTTGAAATTGAAATTTCAAGTTGAAAAAAATGCATTATTAAGATTAGGTTATCTCAGGAAAATTGACTCTCTACTGGTTGAAAAGACTAAGCAATTTATTTGTGTGCAGCTAAGTTGGCCAGCTTACAAGAAGAGAAAACAACAACCAGAGATAAAAAGGTATGAGAGTTAAACAATTATCATAGTTCTTGTAAAATGATTTTTTTTTTTTTTTGCATAATGTATCAACATTCATTGTTGTTGATTTTATTTATAGGAAGAAAACATGGGAATGGAACTCTATCCAACAGGGTCGACCATACCAGATTGTTCCCATGCATGTGGACCATGCTCTCCCTGCAAGAGGGTGATGGTTAGTTTCAAGTGCTCCATTGCAGAGTCTTGCCCCATAGTTTACAGATGCATTTGCAAGGGAAAATACTACCATGTTCCCTCCAATTGATCACCACAATTTTCTTTCTTTTTATTTTTATGTTAGTCTAGGATCATTGTTGTAATATTCTTAAGATCATTGTCGTAATATTCGACTTCTCTTAGGATTGGGTTAGGCATGGTCGAAACAAGGAATAGTATGAATGAGTTTTGTGGCTTAGATTTTACCTTCTTCTTTAGTAAGAGAAAAAAAAATTAGATGCAACAATTTGTTCTTTAATTGTTTTCATATTCTATTAATATTGGATACTACTAATCCAAAAAGGATCAACTTTTAATTAATACCTTGATTAACTCAATAACTTATCCATTTCTATAAACATTGTATTTAACTATTATTATTTTTTACTAAATTTTTATTTTCAACATGTACACAATTGCTTCTCATAATCAATTTCTTTCTTCCTTCTTATATAACCTTATATTTCTTCAGCCATGGGAATTAAAATTTCATTTTCCAGGCACATTTTCATTTAATTTGTCATATTTTTAAAGGGTAAAATATGTTTTACATTTTTTGTATTATATAAAATGTACGTAGATTTATTAAATAAAATTAACAATTACTAAAAATTTTAATACAACTTACGTGGATTAATAATTTTTACATAAATTTTATCTGATAATAAATATATTTTACTTATTTAAATAATAAATACCCAGATCTTTCTGTAAATTTGGCCCACTGCAATGACAGTAAAAATTACTGTTTTTTGAGTCCATTCAACAAGAGAACCAAGCCCAATAAAGCATATCTTACTACTCTGTCAATGTTTTCCAAGTTGGACAAATTTTCACATAAAGAAAAAAAAATTATGAAACCTAATTAAATTATATTTTAAATATAAATTATAATTAGTTTACGATTTTTCTTTTTGGAACTTTAAATAAAAAGAGTTTTGATAGATTAGTTATATATAAAAATTCATTTTAGTTTATAAAGAAAATTAAAGTTTTCTTATTTTAGTTTTTAATAAATTTTTATTTAAATCCAACCATAACCAATCATTTGAAATTTAAATTTTTTTTTTAAATAAGGTATGAAGCACCTAAAAAATAAAATTTCTTTAATGAAAATAGAAAACTATTATATTGAGAACGAAAAAATACAACAATATATAATATTCTATTCATGTTGATTAGCAGAATAATATTTATTTTTTTATTTTTTTCAACAATATAAGGAAAAGGAAATGAGTGTTAGAAAGAGAAAATTGAAGGAAATAGAAACATAATTGAAAAAAAATGGAAATAAATGAGAAAAGGTGTTAATTATCATTTATAGTAAACATCTGTAAAAAAAACATTTGTTAAAAATCAAATTAGCAAGCCCAAAAGAATAACCTGAGGAAGTAGGTTAGTATGGGCCCAATTATGTAGAGTTAATAAAGTGTGGACTTAGCCTGATATTAATAAATTGATTAAAATTAAATTAAACATTTCTTATTACCAAATCTTATTAAACCACTTATAATATTTGAAACAAGAGGGAATATATTGCATTTGATAATTGTTGCATACCGAACACTCTTTTTCTTGGAATTGAGGGTGAAAGAGACACGTGATCCGTATAAGTACGGTTGTACCCACCAATTTGGTTAGCCCCATAAATCAAGCAATGAAAATTGGAATTCTAAGTCAAAACTTGGACTCTCATATTTAATAATTTAATAAATTTGAACAAGTTTCTTCACAATATTCATATATTCATATCTTTCCTACCATATCAGCAGCTTAACACGTTCACAATTTTGGGTCAACAGATCAGTTGTCTGATCAGAGTTAGGTTATTACATTGAAGTTTGGTTGACCAATAGAAAGAATCTTTAATAAAAAGAGCTTAACACCATGATTAGGTGTTTAGGTGAGAGATGGAACCTACCCTTTACTCCATTAAAGAGAAGAATTAAGAACCCTACAAGTATAGGGCCCCTACCAAGTACAATCCTCTTCATTTGAGTCCATTGAGCGTGGTTGTGGGGGCAAACAGCAACAATGGACTTGAGACACAGGGAACTTGCCAAGTAAATATGAAGGGACAGACACGCAAATTTCTCGTGTCATTTCAGTGGACTATTTTGCACAGCCCAGGCCCAGTCAAAACATGTGGGCCACATTTTGCGTCCAAATTTGTCGCCCACATGCCTTCAATTTTAATCTTCACTTTGCAACTTCCAGCTGGAAATTTCTCACTTTTTTCTTCAATAAAATAAATTTTAAAATTCCTCTATAATAATATTTAAATGCATATCAAGTCAAGTTTTTTTAAGTGCTTGAAATGAACACTCAACCATTTGATCAACAATTAATTAATGATAAAATCAGTTTTGTAAATTTCGTGCCAAAAGGTTCATGTTGAATGAAATTTATATTCCTTAGAATAGAAGATATAACAATGAAACTATATCTATTAAACTTGTTTAAACGAATGAAGTTAAACCCATATTTGGAGATACGTTGAAAACCTTGAAATCATTCGAATTCGTTTCCGTGTCAAGTCATGATCATTGTTGTATCTATGTATTGTCATTTTTTTTTAATATAGAACATTAAGTTTTATGCTACAGTCTCAATCAATAATTTAAACTGTCTGCTTGCTTGAATTTTCTTTTAAATAGTTTTTTTATTTGAAAGATCAAATATCAATTTAAAAAACCATAATAATAATAATGTATTTATATATAGAAAAGATCAATCATATATCAATAAAGTGAATATTTTAATATATAATATATGATGATATAATTATATTTTTCATTGACTTGAGATTTTATAAAATCTTTTTATTTTGAGAGGAAGATTTTTTCAAATATTTTAAGAGGGAGATATTTTTAAATAATCTCAATTAAAATTGATTCTGATATTATCTTAAAATAAAAATGTATTTAATTAAAACTTATAAAATCAATTTAATTATACTATATTATACATTTAAGGATTTTTCACCTTATCTTTCGATTTAAGAATAACTTTTTCATATTTCTTATTTGGAAAGGAGAATTTTTATTACACTCATTCTTTTTCAAAGTAATATTTTTGTCATAAAGAATTTTAAATGTTTTTTTATAAGGATTTAATTATTTTTTTCTTAATTTATTAATTCATGTTATTTTATTTTTAAAATTGTATTACTAAATTGATAAAAATGTGGGTTCAAATTTAAAAGTTAAATCAAATTTAATAAAATAATATTCTTATAATATAAATAAATTTATTATTACGAATATCTATTTATAAAAGAAAAAATTATTGTATAATCTTATGCTTAGCTGATATTTTCGTTAATGTGACGGTTCATGTTAGCTTCTTCATGTGTACACTCGTGCCTACACTTATTGTCGTATAAGTTCACATGTATCATTCATGTCAATAAATTATTCCCAACATTTTTAATATTGATATCAAGTTAACAAAGAGACAAAAGAAAATACAACATTACAATTTTAAATTAAAAATAGGAGAATCAAAATTACAAACTAATTATATTAAGGATACAAATGTTGTAGTTAAGAAAAACAAACATTTCTATTTCCAAAGATATTGGATTCAAATTAATTTTAAAATATCTATTTTAACTGCTAAAAAAATATGATACCCATCTCTTGTACTATTTTCAATTTTTATCTTTTCGGTTGAGTTTGAATTGTGGCCATGAATAATGTCGCTTTCTTAATAATTAGATATTTAGAATTGAAGATTGTGTTTAAGGGAAACTAAATTAAACATTTAAGATTTTTTTGGAATGAATGAGTTATTTTCTTTGAATCAAAATATGGTAAAAACTATCTTATATTGAAATTTTTATTTTATTTGATAACCTATCACTTATGAAAAAGTCTTCACAAATTCTTTCCATAAAATTGATTGGAGCTTTCAATGTGAACCTGATCATAATCTTTTAAACTTTGTAACTTAATTATTAAATATATATATATATATATATATATATATTTTTTTTTTACTTCCTTTATTTAAAATTATATCATAGTTAAAATTTGATTACACAAATTGATATAAAAATTATTTTTAATGAATTTATTATTTATTTATTTTTCTTATACTCTTATCATCTTAATATTATTTTTAACAAAAATATTTTTTAACTAACTTTTTATCTTTTCTCTTTATAATAATAAATATAATGAAAAATATATAATTGATAAAAGAATAATTAAATCTTATAAAAGTTTGATAATTAATGGATAAAAATTTGTGTTGGAGAAAAAGAAAGTGGGGCCATGAAAAACTTGGTGGAAATCCTTGTAAGAAAGGAAGAATGATGTGGTTTGGGTGAATCATAAAAACAAGCAAGTGGGTCGGTGGCTTGTCCTATGTACGGCCGTACGGTATTACGGAACCACTACTTCCTTCGACAACTACGCCAATAGTCTGTCCCCACATTTTCAACCACGCGCCCATCAAACCCTTCCCTGCACGCGCCACACCCTTCCAACTTTAACCTAACCCGTACCACCCACTCTCCACCTTAATAAATGTGTTCAATAATATATATATATATATATATATATATATATATATATATATATATATAATATTAACTTTTTGAATAATTAAATAAAAAATAAATTATTAAATTTTGTATGATCATTTTACCTTTTAAATTTGTCATTAATTTATTTCTTTTATATTTTTATTAAAATTCATTTCATTATCTGTATAGCGTTTTTATTAGACAATAACAAATTTACTTATTTTAATTATCATCTAATAGTAAATTATTGTTTATGATAATACTATTGACTTATGTACTAATTATTTTAAAATTTATATTTAGTATGAATTGTAATTCATTCATAGTATAAAAATATTAAAGTGTTAATTTATGAAGAAAACGATGACTTATTAAATGAATTAAATCGACAAATACATATTTTTATATTAAAAAGTATGGGATCTAACTTTCGTTATTAATTACACTCATTTTACAGCATCATCAATTTGAAGAGTTGGTTGATGTGCATAAATGTCTCCATCAGTTGACTAGTCCAT